TATTTTTTGGACAGGGTGGAAGGAATTCAATTAATCTTTTCCTTTTTTATTAAGAACCAAGATACCCTCGCAACATATATTAAAATAAATATAATTACAATGAATCATTTGAAGGAAAGTGTAATCATAATCCGTCATGCCTCGGTTAGGGTGGAATTGGAATGGACATGAATAATAAAATCTAAATAATTTTTTTGCTTTTTTTTTTTTTATTTTCACCTATAATCAATATTTTTTATAAATATTTTTGCTTATTTCAATATATTTAATGAGGGTATTTTGGCCTTCTAATAAAAAATGAAGTATGGAATCAAATTCCTTCCACCCTTCCTAGGAATGGTGAGATCCATCAAATACAAAATTTGAAAAAACTGAACTACCCTCCATTTGCCAACCAAACACACCATGGAATGAAATCACGAATTCCAGCTCTGTCTTATTTATTGGAAATCCACAAACCATATACACCCTTATTACCCATTAGTTTGTAGTTATTTTTTTTACAACAATACAATTTCTTATTTATGAGTTATTACATGTTACTGGCGGACCAAAATTAATCACATTTAGTGCATCTCTTCTATTTATATTCTAGAGGGCAAGAAATGAAATACTTGCTTTGTATGGACTCAGAGTTTTCACCATTTCCCATATGCATACATGATCAAACACAAACAGCTATGATATGCTAATCAAAACCAAATTGTAAATGTATTTAAGGATAACAGATTCTACTCTAGAATTGATTAGGGGTTATTATTGTTGCTTTCTTCCATGTTTCTCATTTTTAATGTTTGAACCTACATTTGAATCCAATGCCTATTTCTTGTACGTTTAAATACTTTTAGACATTTATATTGATTTTTTGTTTGTGTCGTGAACTCGATAAAAAGTTGTGGGAAAGTTGTGGTTCGTGAGGCTATCATCAAAGAAGACATGACAGCTCTCAACATTTTGACTAGGATATTCACTTGTGGCTTTTCTTGCTTTGTTTGACCTGATTATATATTGAATCTTCATTTTACTTATTTTTCCATTCAAAGTTCAGGTAAGTTTTTCTTGAGGGAAGGTCTGCTGGATAGTGGTGGCTTAATAAGATTAGTAAAACCATGGATGAAGGTTCCACTTTTCATTGTGTTGGTTCTTGACAGTTGACATGCATACTTATTGGAGTATGTTGATTAACATTTTCAGTTGTTATTTTCCTATTTCTTTGGCTCTTTTGTAAATGATGAAAATCCAAAAAAAATATATTCCAGAAGGGTAAAAGGGTTAAGTGAGAAAAATGGCTGATTAGTTGGAGAAGTGAGAATATAAGAATAAATAGAGCATGGGGATTTTGTTAGTGGTCATTCTGTTATTTTGTGTGCATGATTGTGCTGGCTCCACACTCATGTGTGTGTGAGAGAGGGACGTTTTCCCTGATTATGTTCGTTTTTTTGCATTTGGTTATCAAGACATTCCTTCCTCCATTGTTATCGTGCCTCATTCACTGTTCCATTGCTACATCCCTAATTTGTTAATCCTTATCAGATAGTTTTATTAATTTAGTGATATAGAATTGGTATCTGCTTAAGAAAAGTAGTTGGTTATTACAATAGTAGAAGAGTTCCTGTTTATCTTGCAATAGAACATATTTGATTATTATACATTTGTAAATGGACGAATATACTATACACCTTCCGATCCCCGCAACGCGGGTAAACCTTTCTAGTTGGAGATTAAAGATGCTCTAGTTTATTGTTTTTTGATTTATAACATATCTTATTCTCATGAAAAAAAAAGAGAGAAAAAAAAGAGAGACAATAGAGGGTCCGACTGTAGTACTTAAAAAAAAAAAAAAAAAAAAAAAAAAAAAGCAAGAATTTGAATGTCCGATATTTAGAGAGCCGGCGAGTTCGTAGAAGTCGAGTTTCGAGAAAGTGCCGGGCAAAGAGAGGTAAACGATGACGAACGCCGCGCAAATTCCGACGAGCTTCGGCCATGAACTTCGAGCGTGTCTGCGTTGCCGCCTAGTGAAGACGTACGATCAGGTTCGCTACGCATTTCCCCTAACATCGTTGATCTAGTAGCCCTAAAATTCCAACTAGGGTTTTGTATTACCGACTTTGGTTTTGTTTTGAGGTCAAGCTAATCTAGGTTTTGGTTTCTAGTTTGTAATTTTGCTGTTTGTTTATGAATTTGTTGTTTGCTGCTTACTTGAGCCGTTTGGATGTTTTGAGTTGTAGTTTCGAGAATCAGGATGTGAGAACTGTAGTTTCTTCAAGATGGAGGAGGATCATGAACGTGTCGCGGATTGCACTACCCCTAATTTTACCGGGTAAAGATTTACAGTGATACGATGTTTCTTAGAATGCTATAAACATTTTGTCTGGGACTGTGGATTTAGGTAGAGAAGATACATCTGTTTTAAAACATGATACATTATACATTATATCTGTTTGACTTGTGCAAACATCAATTAATTGGGAAAGGAAGAAATTGAACGCCATAGCTGACACAGATCCAATAAAGCTTGTTGTTTTCAGATAATTTAGCATACAATGTTTTCTTTATGTATGTTATATGTGTTTATGCTTCTCTGTTGGGAATGGGGTTAGCAAAAGATACAATGAAATGATATGTGGTGGCACTGTCACAAGACCATTGACATTGTTTGATTATGTTAAATTACTAGATTGTAGCTCTAGAGTAGATGGAGACTAATTAATGGTTTTTGTTACTAAATGTAAATGTTCCCTCCCTTTTGCTGTAGGATTATCTCGGTAATGGATCCTGCCAGAAGTTGGGCTGCTAGGTGGCTACGAATTGGTATTCACTTAATCCCATTCCAATCCATACACATACACTTGTCACTTGTGGTGTTAAATGTCCATGGCAATAGCCAATAGCATGGGTTTTTGTTAATAAATGTTTCCCTTTATAACTATCTATTTTCTTGACTTTTATTGACCTGGGATTTCTGGTTTGCAGGCAAATATGTTCCTGGTTGCTACACACTTGCAGTCTCAGAAGCCCTATCGGAGGATCTGCAGGTTCTTGGCTTTTACCAAATCCAAAATATATTATTATTGCATGCAAGAAATATCAATGTACTTTCATTGATTTGTTTCTTATAACATCCTACTTTCATTTTACTTTGAAAAATCTGCTATCATCTAAAGACAAAGCAATATTTTGCACTGCTATAATTGTATAAAAGTGACAAATAAGAAAAAAAAACTGTAATTCCTTGATTAGTAGATAACACATTGAAATTACAATGCTGAAACATAAAGGCTTACGATGCACGAATATCCAAAGTAGATGGCTATATGTTGCATTTCGTCTGAACCAAAATCATATGTATAAATAACAACATACCTCCATTGATTTGTTTATTTTTACATCCTACTTCCTATTACCAACTACATTACTGTTCTTTAAAAAACCAGCCTCATGAAAACCTTATATTCCTTCTATGCTTGCTACAAATAAAATTGGATGGAGTATTCAGTATAATGTTCTAATAAGAAAAATAATTCAAAGTACAATGTTATATTGAGCAAAATTCATAAAGTTTTTTTTTTGAAGGTAGGATGTTGATGCTATTTCTTGCTCTATGGCCCATACACATACATAACTATTTGGTGTTGTTTTTTTTCCAGGCTCTATGTGAGGAAGAGCGGGTGCAATATCATCCACCAAAACGCGTATAAATATATATATATATATATATATATATATATATATATATATATAAGTTGAATTCATAGTTGTAACTGTTTGGTATAAAAAACTAGAAGACTTAGACTTACTTTTTGTTGTATGGGAGGTTTTTGATTCATTAAGATTCTGGCTTCTCCGTATTTGTCTTTTTTTTTTTTTTTTTCATGTATATATTTCTCAATGGGTTGGTTATACCATCCAAGAAAATTATCATTTTATTATTATTTTATTTGGTGTTATAGTAATGACAAATTTGTTGTATTTGGTTTTAAATACTTAGAAAAATAGTTAAATAAGAAAAAAAAATTACATTAATGGTCCATGTGCTTGGCAAAACATACCAAGTTTGATCCTTGCAATGGATTTATTGCAAAGAACGTCCTTATGTTTGAAATTCTTTACACTAAGGGTTCTTATGACTAACTTTGTTACATTTATCACTATTTTTTTTTAATGGTTGCAATTAAATGACAAAATTACATAAATGGTCTTTGTGTCTTACAAAAATTGAATGAATGGTCATTTTTCGCTCATACTCATACCATCATTTTTCAACTGTTACAACATATCATGTGTTTTACATGTGGGGGTAGTTTGGTCTTTTCACTTTTAGCGTTCATTTGATGCTTATTAGGCTTAATGTATTTTAAGCAAAAGTACCTTGAGAAACCCCTTTTGCATCCACTCTACTTTGATTACCATTAGAATACAACAATGCAAGGGAAATCCCCAATTCTTGCAATCTTGTTTATGAAATTAGGGTTTATAGCAACAAGCATGGTACTTTGTATGTGGAATCTATGTGGTCTGCATATGATTTAACCGGACCTTGAAAAATATTATAGTAAGCTGTTGAAATTTTTTTGTTTTGTGTTTCTTTTGTATGTATATTGATCAAATTTGACGTGTTTTTATCAGATGGTTCCAACAATTTCTTCAACTTAAAGGTACATTATGGCAGGTTTTTTTATTATTTTATTCTTTTTACTAATTATCCAAGAAGAAAGTACATTGAAGGAAGGTTGGCATACTTCGACTTTGTTGTCATTGAACCTTTTGTGTTCATGTTCTAAACGACATGATTTGAGGGATAGGGTGTGTTGAGGACTTCACAATGTACTACCATTAGAGAATTCCTAATCTAAACTTATATTTTGGATTGAAGGCTCTAGGAAATGATCAAGACGTCCTTTCTATGACTTAATATCTCCCCCCCCCCCCCCCCCCCCCCCCCCAACAGAGTTATTAATTTGTATGTTAAACACGACATAATCAGAGTTCTAACTTATATCATGTCCCCAACCAAAGTTGTTATTGAGCAACTAGATGATGAACCTTCTCTTGAACTCAATAGGATTAGGCCTAAGAAGAAAGAAACTGGTTCTTGTCGTAAGAAATGAACATGAATGTCTGTCTTAATGAGTCCTCTAATTCGGGCACATATAAAAGATGGGGTGTATAATTTTTCCTAGTCTCTAGTTCCTTTTAAGCCATCTCAAGTTACTGAATGTAGTATACTAGACAAAGAGGTTGTTTAATAATTTGTGGATGATTCCAATGTCTCTATAGCAGAAGAAGCTCCTATTATGCAAGATGTTAGAGTTGATTTCAATGGCCTTGATGAAAGAGATATACTAGATGATTTTGAGCTTTTTACTGACAATGGATATCAAAATGTAGGTGACAATGATGCACATTATAACAATGACTCAATGGTAGAAGATGATGAAAAATAGGTTCAATAAGAGGATGAATAAGATGATGAAGAAGAGGATGACAATGACTATATTGTAGACCCACAAGCACGTGTTGATGATTGGGATGTGGATATAAGGGAATATATCAATGATGTGGATGGGGTTGAGTGGTTTAGACAAGCACCACAAACACAAGCAAATTTAAACCAACATGGTGATGTTTTGGAGGTGATTAACAAGAATGAATTTGAAAGTGCATGTTATGTGGAAGAGGATGTTAAAAAAATTGAAGAAGGTGTCTTGCTCATATGGAGTAGTACATGTTAAAACCTTTCTCTATCGGCCAATCTTTTATACAAAGAAAGATGTTCATGCTTTTATAAAGTTACTTCAATCCGTAGTAGGAGAGCCCTACACATGGCAAAAATGACAAGTTGAGAGTAAGAGTGAAATCCAAGGGGTGGTTCCGATTTCCAAATTTGGCTGATTGTGGACCTTTTACAATAAGTAAACTTACATGCAAGGGAAAAAAATAGTTAAAAGAAAATCTTGTCCTTTTGCATTTCAAGTTTCTAGATCCACTGAAGAGGAACCATGGTTGGTGAAAACAGTGATTGATGAGCATTTATTCTTACAAAGTAGAAATTTAAATGGTGCACATCTAAATTCTTAGCCAAAATTATTCTACAAAAGGTGCGTACCAATCCTCGAAATCCAGGTTCCTCCCTACACGAGGAACTTAAAATGAATTCAGAATAAAGTATGTCTAAAATGAAGGTCTTCAAGGTTAAATCTACAACAAAATATCAGTTGTATGGTGACTACGAAATGAGATACAACTTATTGAGAGATTGTTATGTAGAGTTACAAAACTATAACCTAGGTACAACAGTAAGGTTAGAAGTATGTAGTGAACCAAATCCTGATGTTGAAACTCGAATCTTGAAGAGGATATATATTTGTCTTCGAGCACTTTATTTGGGGTTTAAAGTTGGAGATAGGGAATTACTAGGGCTGGATGGGTGTTTCTTTAAACTCTTGGGAAATTCCTAACAGTTGTGGGTCTTGATTTGAATAATGGAATCTATCCATTTTAAAAGATTTTGGCCCTTTTATTTGGATGCTTTGGGAGTTTCAAGTATGAGCTCATTTTAAAAGATTTTGGCCCTTTTATTTGGATGCTTTGGGAGTTGAAGAACTCTAGAGATTATGGATGGGCTCTTAAGGTCTTTATGTTATGAAAAGTGAGAAAAATGAGACATGATTGGATTCCCTTGTGTTCATGCTCTATTTTTGGCGCCAGTAAGGATTTAATGGACTTAGGATTGTAGATCTAGCCTTTGAATGGAGTCCTAATGAATAAAGTTGGAAAATTTATCCAGTAAGTCATTAAAAAGAAGTAGATATGAAGTTTTAGGCTTAGATCTGTAAGGATTTAACACTTAATGAAAAATATGGAAATCTACCGGTTCCTACGATGTGGCAAAGGGCTTGCCACAACGTAGTGGTTCTCAGCTTCGCAACTATGTTATCTTGATGTTCCCACGATGTAGCCAATAGTCCTCCACGTCGTGGTAGGGATTGACTAAGTTGATGTTGAGTTTTGTTGACCGTTGACTGTTGATTGTTGACTTTTTGACCAATTTGACTTTGGGTCAAACTTGAATGAATTGAGTTATTGATTAAGGTTCTACCTTTTTTTTGGTGCAAGTTGGTTTGCAAGAGTGATCAGTGCAGGGAGTAAGCATGTTGCCGTGTTTCCTTGGGTCTTCGATTCGGGTGAGTTTCCTTAGTATACTGAGTGTTACAATATATATTCTTATATGTCAGGATATAGCAGTAGTGGTATGCTGGCTAGAGTACCAGTAGGTTGGTGGTCGTCTAGGTGTGTGTCCTATGGGCAGTATGTAGTCAGGTAGGATAGTTTGAGAACTCTTAATCTAGGCTTTATTTCATGTTCCTTCTTTGGTTGTGGCTCTAGAGTGGGATCACCTGTTCGAATGTCTATCTCACCTCTGGTTGCATATAGCTATGCATTCCTTGGAGTTCTACTGGTAGCATCGTGGTGTACTGTTTAAGGCATGGTATGAGGTAGTGAGTTGTTAGACAAGTAGACTAGTGTAGATAGTTGCATTTTTTTTGTGTGTTTACATGATTGCTTGTATGTTTCATATGTCGATATATTGGATGGTGGGTTGAGGCAGTCCTACTTTGTGTTGTAGGCCAAGATACCTGGGCGGGCCAACGGTGTGCTATAGACCAGGTGTGGATCAGTTGTATGCTAATTAAGAGTATTCCAGGTGTACTATAGGCCTTGCAAGGCGGTCCAATCAGATTGTAGGCTCTGGAGAGTGATCCAAGCATGTTGTAGGCCTTGTGAGGCGGACCAGATAGATTGGAGGCTCATGTGTGCTTACATTGTATGTGTATTGTAGTGTGTGGTATTTTGGGGGAACTCTCTAAGCTTTTGCTTACAGTCGTGGATTAAATGTTTTCAGATACCATTGGTGACTGTGGGAAGGCGAATGCGTGATTGTAAACACTCATCAACATCAATGGAGATTTCGTATTATTTATATTAGTCTGATTTTCAAACAACTGTAAACTTGAATTTTATGTAAATGATGATTTTACCTTATTTAACAATGAAAATTTCTCTTGTGAAAATGGGAAGTTACATAGTGCCTTAGTGATGATTTGGATTTGGATACATCATGTAACTTCATATTTGTATCTACCATAAAAAATGTTTGAATAGATGAACTCTGTTTTTATGCTATGTTTTAAGGCTTATAATTGTGTTAACTTAAATTTAAAATAATATGCAGGGAGTAATACTTATCATAGTAAAGGTGTTTCCAAGTACAGAACACGTGGTGTTTGAGGCACATTACTGAAAACATGAAGTTGAAATTGGGGGGGGGGGGGGGGGGGGGAAGGATAGAGTTTAAAGATCACTTGTGGATATGTGCTACAAGTACAAAATTTAGACATTTTGAAAGATCAATGACATAATTCAAGGTTTTTAGTGATAAGGCACATGAATGGCTAACTAAGATTCTTGCAGTTCATTAGGCTAGGTCATATTTCTCTGATAAGTTATGTATTATTTGGTTTAGTGTCAAAATTGTTTGTCATTCTTTAACACTTATTTATTTTTCACAAGTAGAGTACATTTAGTTTGTTTGCCAAATAATATGTGTGAAGTACATGGTAGGGACAAACCCATCATTACTTCTTTAGAGTACATTATGGTGTATTTGATGAAGAGGCATTGCATAGTTCAAAAAGAAATTGATAAATGTAGAGGTACGCTAACCCCCACTACAACAAGTATTCTTGAAAAAATAAAAAAAGAAGCAAGCTAATATATGATACTCTTGAATCAGAGGTGTAGTGACACTGGTTATGATGACATGTGCAAAGATCTAATGAATCATACAAACATCAAGAATACAAGGAGTAAATAAACACGTTTAAGCTCCACTAGAATAGTAAGAGCACAAGTGGGTTTTGAATATTATCTCACTAAACTAAAACTTACAAATGGGTCTTACATAACGGGAGTCACTTACTTCCTATTTATAGAAAAGACTCAACCCATTTACACATACAAGAGGGTAAGCCGCTTCCAAGGACAACTTTGCACCCTGACATTCTTCCCCTGAAAGTTAGGATTGGATGTCTCGACTTCAGTTTCCAAATGAGATCACGTGAATTATACCAACTCTCCCTCTAAGTAATACCGGTCTTCAAATCCGAAAATAAATATCTGAGAAGCTTCGAATACCGAAATCTACATTCTCTTCGTTTTTATAATCAACATGTGATTAAAATCACAAAAAGGATGAGAAGCACTAGAGGAATAACTTGATGAATCTCCCCCTTAACGGTTCCAAAAATTCAACCACAAAAACTTCCACGAAAAAAATTCACGAAAAGCCAAGAAGAATTTCCAAATTTTGTGAAAACTTTCGACTTTTGGGTGAGAGCTGCAAGAATTTTGAAAACTTGGTAAAAGCTATCAATTTCATAATTCTGCAGGGACCCGTTGCGCCAAAATAACTTCCAATGCGAAACTTTGCTCCAAATGTGAAACTGGGCATGAAGTGTCAATTCGTATAAACTGTAGGGACCCGATTCAAAAATTCTTCCCATGTCACATAAAATTAACCCAGTGTCGAAACTGGGTAATTTCTGCCAAAGTGCTATAACTTTAGGAATTTGAAATGAACATTTGCATTCTTTTCAACAAAATATCTCCATATCAAAAGTGGGTCTTTTGTGCTACCTCTTTGAAAGATATGGGATTCGAAATGATTTTTTTTCTTACCCAATTGTTACTAGATGCGAACACGATCAACACAATTTACACTTGGAGATTGAATTCCAAAAGTCAAAATACTCCTTTTGACTACATATCAAAATTATGTTCGACATCACACCAATTACCCCACAGCGAAGCCTTGTTCGACATCCAAACCAATTAACCAAAGTGAAACCCAAATCGTGATCACATGTTGCGAACGACTTATTTGAGCTCATTTCGAAATGGTGTTGACATCAAAAGGCTTCATCCTCCAAATTGACCAACCCAAAGCGAAGCCAGTTCAATCATCAATCCAAAATGTAACCATCTCATGTCGAACTCACTATCCACAAAATTCATCACATATTGAAATTACCATCCATACATCGAACGATCTACCCCGAAACGAAACTGTGAAAGCATTCGAACCCAAATCAACACTAGATGTGAATGAACACAATGTTTGATCTGTTATCGTCTCCATGTCGCTTTCTATCAAGTCACTTTTGAAATCACGATGTCGACTCCAACTTAAACACGTTCGACCCTAAGCATTTGTAACACCAGTCAAATTTAGGTCAATAATAAATTATTCAATAACCTTAATTGGGATAAATAAATTGGTAGAGATCGTAACTAGGTTTCCAAAAATATAAAGAACACTAAAATCCGAGTTATAACGAAGAAGTTATGACCAATCAAAGTTCTACAACAAAACCGGTAAAATAATGTTAAGGGTAAAATACGAAATTTCAATAAAATACTTTCCAACCTTAGGTATCTAAATGAAATTTGTAGATATCATTAAACCGTAAATGTACAAAAAAGGAACGCCCAAATCTGACTTCGTATGAGGAAGTTATGATTTTTCGAAGTTTCAGACATAGTAGTAGACAACTAAAAACTCGAAATAGAGATCGAGTGACTTTTAGCCAACGCAACCTAAACGAGAATCGAAGATCTCGACAATAGTAGTATAACGGTAAAAAGATAGACGAAAACGGACATCGGATGAAGA